GTGTGATCGTTTTGCTTTTTTTGTCTTCTCCTTACTCTTTATATGATTCTGTTTCTTTCCTTTGTTGTTTTTGAGCTTGTTGGACCGAAAAACTTGCCTTTGATATAGCCTTATTTCGGTCAAATAGCTGGAATTTTCGGCAGTTACGTTTTCAAAGAAACAACCATGCAAAATAGCTAGATATAAGAAGACGACAGAGAGTTTAAATTGTTAATGATCGTTCTCTGATGAGCCTTCAAAGACAACGACCTCCGTGGGCAAGAAAAAAATACAAATACACTGAAGGTCGTCGACGCGTTTTGGTAAGTTGATTTTGTAGCTGTTTCCCGCCAAAGTTCACATTGGACGAAACAAGCTAAGCGTGATCCAAAATCAAGGCGACCCCCAATAGTCTTGGGAGGAGAGTTTCGTTAAGATCGGATGAATGAACTTTGATGTGTTTGATGGCTCCGTCAGACAGAACAGTCAGTAACTCAACACATTGTCCTTTCCGATGGAACTGTGTTCATTCCTTTCCCGGAGTGACGGCGTCCTTTAACAGAGTTAAGTATTGGACAGGAAACTTCTCTTATGTTGCCAGTGGCTACTTACGGTTAGCATTTCACTACTCAGTCACCACTTTACCTCCTTCCTAAACCACTTGTCTTTCAGCTCCTCCAAAAAAATAGTAAACGAAACAGTAAGACAAAGGTGCTTTACTGTACTGATGTTTTTATTTGGCATCAGTCGATTCATAGCACCTACAAGATGACTCCTACTTACGTTCGTTACATGTTACAAATTTTTTTTTGTTTGTTTTCTCTTTTTTGTATAAAATTGATATTAATATATAAAGGAAATAAAGGGAGATGTAAAGAATCAACCATAAGAGGATACAGAAAACAATTGAGCCCCAGATGGGATTCGAACCCACGACCCTCCGTGTTCTAGATCGGATGCTCTAACCTCTGAGCTACTGAGGACTCGTTTGCGAGCAAGGGCCATTTTTGTGGGTTGGAATTGCGTACCGCATCTCGCAGTCACACAGTCCATCACAGGCAACACATTAAGGCTTAACTGTATCACACAGTCACATTAATAGTAAGAAATGTCTCACTAAGGAGCCTCCAACCAACCAACCTATGCCACTGATATTAATATATAAAGGAAATAAAGGGAGATTTAAAGAATCAACCATAAGAGGACACAGAAAAAATCTGAGCCCCGGATGGGATTCGAATCCCATCTGAAAAAATTCCATAAAATTCCTAGGTATATTATGCAAGGTATTACATCTCGCGTCTGATAAACTATCAATGGTAAAATAAATATCACAATTTTGACAACTGCTGATTATTTGTTACAATCCCTTCATTTTAGTGTTGTATTTTGATTCTATTTTGTTAATTACTGAAATGTGCATGTTTTGAGGATTTAATTTTAATTTCCTATTTTGGTATAAAGATTATATAATTTTAAACTATTTAGACCCGTTTTGTTTAAGGCAGTCTGTGTAACAAGTTATTCAGTGTTGTATGTTTTTTTCCTTGATCCCTTTCCCCGGGATTACGTGCCACGTTTTTTGGCCAATTTACATGGTTGGTTTTTAGTTGTTTTTCGTATCTAGCGTGGTACGGTATTAACATTGATGTAACTAGGATACATCTGCATCAGATGACTAACTGAAGCATGCTAATAAACGTTTCACATTGAATGTCTAGTGTTGCTGTTATCTCTTCCGTTAAGTATTCACAGCAGCCTGAGAAAACAGCTCCCTGGGACCCCGGGGGTACTTCTGGGAATTCTTGGTAGGGGTGTGCCGCCAGGTTCTCAAAATCCTGACCATATTTCTGACCAAAAAAGGCTACTTTTCAAACCCTCTCTCAGACCTAGGGCTGGGCCTGTTTCTCGAAAGTCCCGATAACTTTTCGGGCCCTGAAAGCTGCTTTTTGTTTGCCGCGTTTGCATTCAGGATCAACGTTTCAATAATTTTGAAAATTGATAAAGTGAAACTTTCAGTTAACGAAGCAAAATTGACTGGTTTATGCATGGGCAAGGAACTGTGCTACTATTCAACAGGTTTGGATTTTAAAATTGCTTTCTGTCCGAAAAGCTTCCAGGGCTTTCGAGCAACAGGCCCTGGTCTTTAAGAAATTATGTCATCATTACATAGACTAGAACTACAACAAAAAAGATTTCTTAAAATCCGTTTCGGTTTGCAAATGTCTTTTTAAGTTTCTTACTCATTTGATATTGAAACGGTAAATACGTTTAAACACTCTCGTAGTTTCCTCGCAAACCATACCCGCGATTCCAGACCGAAATGGATAAAGTCTGTACTCGTTTTCAGACCAAAACGGCGCACTAAAAACCATACCCTTTGGGGCGGCACACACTAATATCGCTTATATAAGGGAGTAGTCACTCGGGAAAACGGCCCCCGCCATTACTCGACGCCACTAATGGTTTCCCCGCGAAACGACGTCTGAGGAACAGCTGCAAAACGTCCATACAGATGACGTGTCACTACCCACATCAGGGTAGCAAAGATCCATCGCCGCACGACCAGTCAGAAGCAATACCTTGTTCTGAGTAGTGATACGTCATCGCTGTGCGGGAATTTCTGCAGTTGTTCCTCAAAAGTCATTTCGAGGGGAAACCAGAAACTAGCCGTGGTAGTGTCTCGAAATGTCAGAAGCTACAGTAGGGGAATATAGTATTTCAATCAATAGGGATTTGACACTCTGTTTAACACAAAGGTGACCAGTTAACACAGGCTTGAAAGAAATTTAAGATGGGTCATTTAAGAACTTAGAGTTTTGAACAATAAGGAATTTTAGCAATGAAAACTGTGGTTTGTGTACACATTGTTTCCCTATTTGATTAACTGGCACGATGGTCAAGGCTATGCAATTTTACGACAGAGACGCTTGCAAGGCCTTGGTTTCCAACAGAAACGTTTTTCTCGATCGATGATCTCGAAATAGCTTAGTACAGGTATTCGTTTTGCCGTTTACACGTAGATGTGCCGGGAATCTGAAAGAAAAAGCCCGATCTGGAAGCTTGTCAGGAAATTTTGATTCTAGAATCAAAGCCAATGCATTCATCCAAACAAATGTTCTCGTATTGCCTGGTGTGTATTTAAGCCTGTGAATCAGAATACTCCAAACATCATGAATAAAATATTAATCCAGAAAAGTCTCTTGTGTAAACCTACCCTAAGAAAGTTCAGAAATACATCAGTTCAGAACTGTGCCCATGAAAGTTAACCAATTTCGTTCCTTGTTAGCCCGGCCTGTCCAGCCGGCAAAATTGGCAGCCTTGGTGCTGACCAAAAGAATCTCAGCCTCTCGGAACGAGATTGAGATTTACCCTTGTATATACCAGCGTTATATTACGTCAACGACCCACGCGCAGACATAGTTGCTCGTGAAAGTCTTAACACTAGGAAATAAGGGAAGGGTGTTCAGGAACGCCTTGAACATTCCTTGGTAGGCCCCTGGCTCTTCACGGCGCTAGAGTAAATAGGGGTTTTAATAAAATGACAAGTCCGGGTCGAAGTCTATTGTTCGTCTGCTTCATTTTCGTTTTTAGTATAGGGCGACTATATCTCTGGAATTCTTTTCAAAAGTCTGCTCGAATGTCAAGTGAGTACCCTTTCTACTACATCAGGCCAGGGCTGAGCTGTTAAAAGCTCGCCGTTTAGCGATAATGCTGGGTTAACCGCTGTAAAGAGAGCACATGAGTTGTCCCCGAAACAAGGCCTGATTTTGCGGCCATTTTCGAGTTTCAAAATTTAAAACGTGTCCAAGTGGGAAACCCTTTATGTTATCATAAAATGGGTTTTATTTCCCTGAGAATAAGAAAAACAGAGGCTTGGGGTAACACGGACATGCTCTATTAGACACATGATATTCCTATCTGATATTCGCGCTACGGAACTGAAACCAGCTGGCTGTCGAAGTTATGCAATGTTGAGACCAAGTGGCATTCAAAATGAAAATATTACACCCATGACCCTTAGCTTTAATCCAGATCCAATTTATTTTTGGGAAGCTTTTAATGCCTCGCAATGGCGGACTGAAAGACATGGCGAAGATAACATTTATTGGTGAAAGAAAACGAAGAAGTGACATTCTCGAATGTTTCTAATGGTTGCCCATTTTCTCTGTTACAGGGAAACGCGCGGATCCGTCAAACGAAATCATTAGGAAGCTTAAGCAACGACGACGTCGACATCAACGAGATCGACGAAAAAAAACAATGGGTAAGAATGGCAAAAAACACGCATTTTGTACATTTCTTTGCCGTCACTGCACGACTACGACGTAAAAATGCCTAATTTCATGTTTTATGGAGGACAAGAACTCAAGACAACGACTTTCTTTATCCTTTCCTGAACTTCAATACAGTCTTTCAGAACCCAGCTCCAGAAAATATTGCCAATATTTGACGAATTGAACCACATGGAATAAGCGCGATAAAGTTCGAAGCAGCGAGATTTCACTCAGTTCTAAGTGACGTTTTCCAAGTCTTCGCCGTCGTTGCTGCTTATAAGCTCCCTAAATAGAATTAAGACACCTTCCCCTAGAATGTTTATCATGTATCACGGGTTTTTGAAATGGAATACCGTGTTTGAGAAAGTTCGCTCTGATAGCTAATCAGTATAATATTTAAGAGGAAGACAGAATAGTTACGGTGTTCTTTCCTCTTATTCTCACAGATTTACTGATTATATTATTACACTGATGTATGTGCTGTAGAAAAGTTATTTCTCGCCCACAAACTGACTAGTGTTTGACACGAAAACTACGATGACACAGTACACAGTATTTGATTAGAATACGGCATAAACTTAAACTTTACATTGTCATTTTAAGACCGGACTATTACGAAAAAGAAGACATGCTACAAAATATTTTAATCAGAACTGAATCACTGGCCGTGTGCTAAATCTCATGACCTGTTAACATAATTCATAATCAGTGGTGCGTAATTTCTAACAATGTGTGCTTTAATAACTAACTAAGATTCAGTTGAAAGGCAAGGTCATGAATTGAAACTTCTGGATCCTCCTTGGAGCTGATGGCGCTACTGTAGAAACAAATAAAAACAAAAGTTATTTGTATTAGAACTGATACTCATTTTTTGTACATCTTAAATGATGTCCCTTGATACTTCAGATATACAACTTGCCCCTATGAAGGCCGGAAAACATACGAAAAATTAGTGTTACGAAAATATCCATTAGCCTCCATACAGTCAAGTTTTCCAGCCAATTCTATGATTCTAAATTTAAATAAATCTTAGCGCCTGCCCGTGAGCAATTTCCACAACGTTTGCACAAGTAGATTGAAAAAAATCACTTTGTGTCTTAAATGATTACCCGTGCTCACGTAAATCGCAATGCTATCGGCCGACAGTATTGCAATTTACGTGGGCGAATTATATTTACTAGTGTTATGCTGAAATCCCCTGATGGGCTTTTTACATGTTTAACAGTCCGTGGCATTTGATACGGTCGGGGCAATAAATATTTTAGTAGTAACCGACCCTTCGCCATCACTTTTTGAAAATTAAGGCATTATACTAGGTATCAAGGAATTTTTCATACAGTAAAAGCCCGCTTATGCAAGGCAGCCAAGGACCAAAGAAAAAAGCTGGTCTTTTTTACGAGGTTTAGATAAGAAAATAACTTAACGTTTGGGCATGTGCAAAAAGAACGTCTGTGGTAATAAGGTAGGCATGGTCTACTGTGCATTATAACTATAAATCAGCTTCTTATAGTTGAAGGAACAAGGACTCCTACGTGCGATAAAAACTTAAGAACATTGTAAGTCTAAACAACTCTCGAGGGTCCTTCATAATAAAACTGATATCACCCTGATGTTCGTTTGTAACTCGACACTAAGGAATATATACAACGGTGCTATCATTAAATGAGCAAATTCCCGCTTTTTCCTTGGCTAACCCACACTACCCCGTCCTACCTGAAGTACGATTTTCGCCACAACTTAATGAAAAAAAAATAGATGAATAGATAAATAAAGAGCTAACCATTATTAGCAACACCTCTCATCATGTTCTTGTTCCAGTTTTGTAGATTCCTGAATCCCAATCCCTATTCGTCCTTCTCCTGTTTGTCGTCCGTTGTTAACTTCCACTCTTGTCTGCTCTCTCGGCCCGGCCTCTAAACTCTTCAAAGTCAGTATTGTGAGGATACCACCGACTACTCCGCCAAGCAATGCACTGAAGAAGAAAACTATAGCGAAAACCATCTCTGTTATTTTCCGTATACAGCAGGAGACTCTTCTATTTTTATCTACCTGATAACCTCTAAGAAAATAAGTTTGTACTTCAAAATGAAACAACTGAACTGATGAAATATGCATAATTGATCGGACTGAGATTTCAACTCAACCAATGAGAGTTTGGAATTCTCACGGAGACGGAAGTGAAGGTACGTAGGCCACTTTTAAGTCCCTTGAGAGTCATGACTACCTAATTAAAAATGCAATTTTGTAAAATGCTATTTAAACCGGTTTGCTTCCATCAGTGATTCTAAAAAGCGAATTACAAATGTGGCTAAATGAAAAAAACGCGTAAAACGTAATTTCAAATAACACATGACATTGCTTCGTTAATGACGTCACAAAACACGTTTTCCTAAACGGGGAAGGGTTGCAAACCTTAATCTTAGGAATTTTCACCACCAAAATGTTACATAAACAGTGTAAATTGTGAATTCGCCTTGTATGATTGGAAATGTTATTTATCCTATTAGTTATTTAGCAAATTAACGAGTCACCTGACCCTTTTCCCTTTATTTACCGATTCCTATATAACGTAAACACACCTACAAGGCGACTTTTTCAGAACGTTTTTAATAGCCTCTGAAATATACCTAAAAGAACTTGCTGGTCTTTCATTATCCTTTCCCCATTTTAGAGTAAACAATTTGACCGTTAACTCTCAATTATAAGTCACGTGGCAAACATTGGAGCTTCTAAAATGTCTCACATTGCTAAGGCCATTAAGCTACATTTGAAGTTCAATTTTCAGGATCATTGATAAAAGCAAACCGTTCCAAATAGCATTTTATTAAAATATGCATATTTAATTACATAGTCATGCCTTGTGTGGCCTGTGTAAAATTATTGCTTAAAAGGACACCAAAAACAGTATAAACATTGCCCTTTTCAAACGCCGTGCCCATAAAGGAATAATGGGAATCATCACGTTCATTTGTTCATTAATTTCAGGATGTTAATTATTTAATTCATCTTGGATAATATTTCAATAGTTTTAGCTGGAATTGCTTTAGCAACTGATTGTTAATTTTTTTAAAAACTTTCAGAAGGATATTTCATAAACTTTTTGCATTGTACCATATTTAATTAGCGAGCACTCCAGACTTCACATTCTCAGTCAGGATCAGAAAAATTGAACTGCAGTTTCATTTTATTGAAATAGTTTGGATCGAAACCCACCGACCATGAGCAAGGTTCGTGATACCCCAATCACTCACAACCATGGTGGTAAAATAGTTCGACTCAGTAAATCTACACTACCGCCTGATGAAGACCTGCAGTACGCGGTCAAAACGAAACTCCTTATTCACATAATCCAAGATGAACAATATGTTTCATGACTTACTCAGCAAGTTGCTCTAAATCAATCTCATTATTGTATTACATGTGAAAAGCCTGGTGAAAATTTCAACTTTTTCCTTTGATCCTGAATTTCTCGCAATCTGCTTTAAATCTTTCCGGACTAATAAAACTGCAGAATGTATACTCACTGTTTATCTGCTACCTAAATACAAACAAACAAACTTAACTTAGTTCACCATTATTTCAATTGTTCTCTGATTCTACTCGCAACCTGTTCTCGGTCTGTTGCCTGCGTCGAATGGCGACATAGCGTGACTCAAAGTTATATCACAACCTCTCAATCCACCAATTTGTATCCTGACTGAGAACAATAAAAAGTTTATTGAAATATCCTTCTAACAGTTTTAAAATAATTAACTATCAGTTGCTAAGAGCGGAAACACCTAGTTGCAATTCCCATATACAACACTATAACAAAAGTACCCACATTTTCCGACCGGAGAGTGGCGACGTCATAAGTCTAAGTTCTCACCTTTTTCCAAACACAAGGGCTCAAAAATTGTTGCAAAGTCTTGTTTAGCCTCCATATCGGCCACATATCTCTAAGTACTGGGTCCCCTTCCCTCAGTGGATGGGAATGAGCATACAGTCTCAACACTGAAAAACTAGACACAACAGTCGAGGCCCATTCCGAAACCCTGCGAGCCCTGAAAAACGTAGTGACACATACAAAACACCTCACTTGCCTATTACTCCAATTCTGACAATACAATTACAACATGTTTTTTTTTACTACAATTATAAGTCTAACTAGTAGACGTTTCGTGTTGGAATCAGCAGACAGGTTGACAAGGTGGTTGATAGACCTCTACCGTCACACAGTCATTGTCCGTCCGATTCCTCTTTGGAAAGATCTTTCTCCTTTGTCTTTTAGGAAATTCATACATTGAGTCTAGCGGACAAAAAGCTGATATATAAAAAATGGGCAAGAAATGGAGTATCATCGAAAATGTGTTAGAGTAGGGCATGGCGGGAAACTACAAAATATATGGGAGAAATCCATCTTTTGAACACATACAAACCTCCTGACACTCCAGTCTGTGGATGAGAAAATTGTCTTAACATGCGAACATAACAAAGGTGGAAGAAGTGACGTCAGGCATCCGAGTATGACAGGAGTCCGACGGGGAATAACCAGAGGAGGATGGAAACGCGTGGTGCCCACGAGTCGCGTCTAGACGTTGCAGGGGGAAATTCAGAACTAATCTTTCTTTCATTATGCCTCCGAGAACACTAGGCTGAGGAAAGTTTTGACACAACAAGAAAGAGATCAGTGAAATGACAAAATCTCCCTCCCTTAATCGTGAAAATACGGAATTGAATTTTTGCACACGAAAAGTGAAACGCCCGATCTAGTTTCTAAGAAATGTGATCTCTTCCCTTACAGCCCACAGTCTGGTCACCTTTTGATTTTTGAAAAAAGGTTTTGTTACTCAACCATTTTTTGTTGTTCAAAAATAAGTTATAGCCATTTTTAAACTAAGAGTGTGATCGTTTGGCTTTTCTTGTCTTCTCCTTACTCTTTATATGATTCTGTTTCTTTCCTTCGTTGTTTTTGAGCTTGTTGGACCAAAAAACTTGCCTTTAATATGGCCTTATTTCAGTCAAATAGCTGGAATTTTTGGCAGTTACGTTTTCAAGAATCAACCGAGCTAGATATAAAAAGACGGCAGAGAGTTAAAATTGTTAATGATCGTTCTCTGTTGAGCCTTCAAAGACGAACTCCGTGGGCAAGAAAAAAATACACTGAAGGTCGTCGACCCGTTTTGGTTAGTTGTTTTTATAGCTGTTTCCCGCCAAAGTTCACATTGGACGAAACAAGATAAGCGTGATCCAAAATCAAGGCGGCTCCCTACAGTCTTGGGAGAAGAGTTTCGTTAAGATCAGATGAATGAACTTTAATGTGTTTGATGGCTCCGTCAGAGAGAACAGTCAGTAACTCAACACATTGTCCTTTCCCGGAGTGAAGGCGTCCTTTAACGGTGTGGTGTTGAGTATCGGACAGGAAACTTCTCTTATGTTGCCAGTGGCTACTTCCGGTTAGCATTTCACTACTCAGTCACCACTTTACCTCCTTCCTAAACCACTTGTCTTTCAGCTCCTCTAAAAAATAGTAAACGAAACAATAAGACAAAGGTGCTTTACTGTACTGATATTTTTATTTGGCATCAGGCGATTCATAGCGCCTACAAGATGACTCCTACTTACGTTCATTACATGTTACAAGTTTTTTTGTTTGTTTTTCTCTTTTTTGTATAAAATTCCTACGTATATTATGCAAAGTATTACATGTCGCGTCTGATAAACTATCAATGGTAAAATAAAATATCACAATTTTGACAACTGCTGATTATTTGTTACAATCCCTTCATTTTAGTGTTGTATTTTGATTCTATTTTGTTAATTACTCAAATATGCATGTTTTGAGGATTTAATTTTAATTTCCTATTTTGGTATAAAGATCATATGATTTTAAAGTATTTATACCCGTTTTGTTTAAGGCAGTCTATGTAACTAGTTATTCAGTGTTTTATGTTTTTTCAGTCCTTGCTCCCTTTCCCAGGATTACGTGCCACGTTTTTTGGCCAATTCACATGGTTGATTTTTAGTTGTTTTTCGTATCTAGAGTGGTACGGTATTAACATTGATGTAACTGGGACACATCTGCATCAGATGACTGACTCGCTCTAGCTCTTTCTCTCAAATAACGTCGAAAAAGACACGACTTTGTTGTTGCTTTTTCTTTCTAAAAGTCCGGGCGGCCATGCAATTTCTTTCCAAGTAAAACCTTGAGTTGCATTTTGGTTGCCATACCTGTTGATTGAATCTTTTTACATTGGTATGCCTGTGGTGCGGACGGACGGTCGGACGGTCGGTGTACGGTCACGTGATTACCAAATTTTCTCGGATGGGTAGTTTACCACATTTCTTTACCCATGGTGCTCGGCTGCGCGCGCTTCGCGTGCGAGAGCTCTGCTAAAATTAAACTTTCAGTTGACGAAGCAAAATCGACTGGCTTATGCATGGGCAAGGAACTGTGCTACTATTCAACAGGTTTGGATTTTAAAATTTGCTTTCGGTCGGAAAAGCTTCCAGGACTTTCGAGAAACAGGCCCCTGGCCTTTAAGAAATTATATCATCATTACATAGATTAGAACTCCAACAAAAAAGATTTCTTAAAATCCATTTCGGTTTCCAAATGTCTTTTTAAGTTTCTTACTCATTTGATATTGAAACGGCAAATACGTTTAGTATATACTAAAACAGTGGATAGTGTTTTTCGCGCGCTCTGATTGGCTACTCAATCAGTAAATATCCTGCACTATTCACTGATTCACCTCCAGTTCCTCCGAGCGAGCGACGCCAAACTCGCGTAAGTGCGAGCAAAATGCCTTCCCGGTTTGCTGCCGTAAACAAACAAAGAAATTTCACAACTAATCAAGCAAGCTGTGTCCGAAATACACAAGAAGAAGGTGACGAAGTTCGGATTGGAAGTTTTAACAGGTAAAGCTTTGTATTTTTGACACGAATTTATCGATAAAACCAGTGAAAAAGTTTTTTGTTTACAAAGGCAAATCAAGTATAAGTCTTGCGTTACTTTATTT